ATATATATATATATATAAAGAGATTGTGACTGTCTCAAAAAAAGAAAGAAAAAAGATTGGAACCTACATCGAACAAGCAACAAAATCCAACAAAATTAGCCCACCATATCTAACTTACTCAGAACAATTGAGATCAATTCGATCAACCCATTAACCACTATTAACAACAACAGTAAAAAATAAAAAATTGAAGCCAAAAAGAGATAGAGAGGTGGAGAAAATATGGGATTCTTACCAGGACTAGAAACAAACATAAGCATAAAAATAAAATAAAAAAAGTGACAATGAATATCCTTTCGTAAAGAAAAGGGCAATTTCGAGTTTAGGCGCAAAACTCAAAAAATTAAAAAATAAATAAATTATGGTCCAAGATCTCCTTTCCCCTTCTCCTCAAACCCACCATTTTCCTTCCATTTTTCTTGTTCCTATTTCCAAGAGGAGAGCGAGAGAGATTGAAGTGAGAAGATTGCTTGAAATATGAGGGAGCATAAGAGAAGAAGATGAATAGAAGAACAGAAGAAGAAATAGGGCTCTACCAAAAAAAAAAAAAAAAGAGGAGAAAATCACAAAGACAGAGAAAGAGAGAAGAGAGAAGAGAGAAGAGAGAAGAGAGAGAAGAGAAGAAACTAATGAGAAGAGGCGTGCTCGTCGAGAGAAAAGAGAAGAGGCGTGTCTCTGGAAAAGACTCGGATTCTAAACCCACATCTGGGCTTGGGTTCTGGAGCCATAGTTATTTGGGACATGGATCTCATGCCCATATCCAATCCAAGATACATTTAAGCTCACCAAAAAATGGCTAGGACCCATGTCCATTTTAATTGAAAATATCCAGTCCTATCCAACCCACCAAACAGGCCCTATGCTCAATAGTAGGTTCATAAGATATGTTGAATATGGCATTTCCTTCGTTCAACCAATGGGGGCACGAACATCATCAATTAATTTTTGATTTCACCATGGAAATTTGACCTTTTCCAAATTGTAAAGACCACCTTCAAAATAACCTTATTTAGGAGAGGAGACGAAGAAAATCTTGACCTTTAGCCCAAGTCAAACCATCATATAGCCAAGACACTAACAATAGGATGCCTAATTCAATCCTTGAAATAACAAAGACAAACCATTGAAGGAGTAGACATCATCAATTAACAAAGCCAAACCAGTGTGTGTGTAATATATATATATATATTATTTGAGGGACACCTTTGTAGAGCCCATTATGCATTGTATTTCACTAATCCAAACCGTCTATGTTTTAGATAATCATTCAAATACCATCTCTATAAAAAATCATTGAATCCGATATCATTTGACCACTCAATTGAGTTATTGAAATTTTAGACTTTCTTGAAGCACTATGTTCATTGATTTTGTAGGACACAATAGGATGTCAAAACGGTTTCTGATTTGTCTAATTTTTTGCAAGGATGATCTATGAATGTAGACTTAAAAAAATGAATGGTTTGAATCGTTGAAAAAAAAATCGTAGGGGACCCTAAAGGATATCCCTCAAATAAAATTATTTAAAGGATCCCTTAATTGAAGGGGATTGTAAAAAAATAAAGTTGGAAATTCGCCTTATAAAAGTGTAAAAAAGATTCAGTTTCTATCTTGACCATATATTATTTCCAAAGTTTCTTTTTCATTTTTTAAAATTGTTATTGTTAACTTCAGGAAGGTCATCATCACACCTTGAAACACAATTTCTACATTATGTTTTAACATGAGAGGAGTGCAATACAACTTTTTTTTAAAGTGCTAGTATTAACATTTGTTTTTGCTTAATACTTCGAAAGTTAGTAATGCCTAGTATGACTATAAAAGAAAAAAGAAAGGAGGTGCCATGAAATACCTTCTCATAACACTCAAAGAACTTTTTTTATTTTGTAATGCCTAGTATGACTATAAAAGAAAAAAGAAAGGAGGTGCCATGAAATACCTTCTCATAACACTCAAAGAACTTTTTTTTATTTATTTATTATATTCAGATTATACCTTCCTTTGAACTTTCCAAAAGCTCCTTAGTTTCTTTTTTTTCTTTGAAATTTTAATAATTCTACCCAATAAATACATACAATGTTTATGACAAGCCCAATCAATATTTGGAAAGAGATTTTCCAATTCTTGTGGTGATAATAAGATATTTTTTAAAATTAAAAAAACTTAAATTTGTGTTAAAAAACTAAAAAAAGAAAGAAGAAGAAGGAGACTTCGGTTTAATGAAAAAAATGCAATAATTAGTTGGAAGAAAAATCCAAGACCCTATTTTTAATATTTCAGAAAGAACAACCAAGCATCTTACTCTTTAGTGCACCAAACAATTAAACTAGAGTATCTTTGTGACTTTTCCAACTATAGAACTTGCAGACTAACGTTCTTAAGTTCGAATCATTATAACACCTTAATATTGTGTAGAAAACCCATTCTCCGTCCTAATTTTGACAAAAATTAAAAAAAAATCACAGAAATTCAGTACACACATTACAGAAAATATGCCACGTGTTCTATGTCCCACATCCTACATTGCCGAACCAATTATCGGTTCCCACTTGTCAAGTAACTCGCTCACACTAACAATCCCTGTCCAAGTATAAACACCCAAAGCACCTCCTTTTCTTTCGCATATATATATATATGCACATATTCCGCTCAGGTCTAACTCGTTTTGGTCTCAAATCTCTCTCACCTTTCTTTAATTAGGGTTGCGTTTTGGTCTTCGTCTCTCTGTGTATTTAGGGTTTTGTTCGACTCGCAATTGCAGGGCTTTTTCTACAATTCTCTCTCTATAAACAGTACACATCGAAATTTTTGATCTTTTGGTTTAGATACTATTAGGGTTTCGATTCTCTCTTTCCCGCGAATCGTGATCGTGAAGCTAGGATTTTTTATTCGTTCCCTGTTCAATTCGGGAAAAAGGAGGTTGATTTTGGGTTTTGATTGGGGAATTTGAGTTTTGGACAATTTGACTGCGAAAACAATGCCTCCGAGGATGGTGAAGAGAGGGGCGGTAGCGGCCGGAACGAAGAGGACGACGAGAGTCACCAGGGGGACGCCCAAGCCTCAGAGCCAGGCACAGGCTGAGGCTCCCGATGATGTGCCGGTGGTGGAAGCTAAAGAGGATCTTAAGGTTGAAGAGGTTAAGGAGAGGCCAATTGTGGCGGAAAATCCGGTTGTTGAGGAGAAACCGACTGTTATCGATCAGCCAGGGCTTTCAGGGATTGAAGATGATGCAAAATCAGAGCTGAATGGATTAAAAAGTAAGTTCCTTCTCTTGATTTGTCATTCTTGTATGTTTTGCATGATTTTATGTATGTTGTCAGGATCTTGTTGTCTTAATATTTTTGTTTTTAATGTGAGAATTTTATCTCAGGAGTGACCAAATTTTTCTTTATTAAATTTTATGAATTTATAATTTTATCGTTTGGGATGGTTACCAGAGCTTGGAAAAACAGTGAAGCTAACTAAGGACAATACTGTAGAAAGAATTCCAATGGATAAAATTTGAAGTATTTATTTTACATATCATAAATGGTTAGCTGCAAATTCGCTGTTTTTATGAACCTAGTAATTCTTTTCATATATTTGTGGTGGCTTTTAATAGAAGTGGCCACCTTGTTCTTTCAAGAGCAATTGGTTTTTGAATGGAGCTTAGAATGACGGTGTGAGCATCGTATAAGTGGACTATTGACTTTGTTCTAGTTCACATATGTGTTAATAAATTGGTTTTCTTATGGATCTAGAATGACAGTGTAAGTATTGTGAACACGGATAAATTCTCTCTTTGGTTTTAGCTCAGTTGTGGTTTAAGCAGCTGCTTTTCATGAGGAGTGCAGAATGGAAGTTTAAGCATTCTAAATTTGGATCATCTTATTTTGACTTTTTTTTTGGATCAATGGTTGGTTAAGACATTGATTTCTTATGGAAGCATAGAATGACACTTCAGGCGTTATAAATGTAGATCGTGAAATTTTTTTTTTGGGCTCAGTTATGTGTTAATATATGGTCATGGTATTTTTCAATGTGTTTATCTGAGAAGGACAAGAATGCCTTTTATAAAATTGTATGCGAAATCTACTTTATCATAATGTACAACATGAGTCTCTTTTAACTAAAGGGATCATCAACCTTAATTTTATGGCAGAACAAGATAAGGTTAAGGAGTCTATGGTTGATTATGAAAAAGATGAACGATTAGAGCTGGAGGATAACGAAGCTGAGTATGAACCTGAAGAAGATGGTGGGGTTGATTATGATGAGAAGGAAATGGAACAAGAGGATGTCCAGGAGGTTGAAGATGAAGGAGATGAAGAACCTCTGGAGAATTTAGGTGAAGAAGAAGGTGATATGGCTGAGGAGGAATTGGAAGATCCCAATGAAGAACTTGAGGGTGAAGAGTATGAGGAGCATACTGGTGAGGAGCATGAGCATGAGCATGAGCATGAGCATGCAGAGACGGTTGACGAAGAAGAGGAGCACCATGAAGTTGTAAAGGAGAGACGAAAGCGTAAGGAGTTTGAAGTATTTGTTGGTGGTCTAGACAAGGATGCAAGTGAGACTGATCTTAAGAAAGCTTTCACCGTAGTTGGTGAAGTTACTGAGGTCAGGCTGATGATGAACCCTCAGACAAAGAAGAACAAGGGATTTGCATTCTTACGTTTTGCAACTGTGGAACAAGCAAAACGAGCTGTTACAGAGCTTAAACATCCAGTGGTAATTTTTGATCCCCTGATAGTTTGAATGGAAACTGGTTTCTTCACATATTAAATTCTCTTCTTTGAATGATTGCAATTCCAGATTAATGGAAAACAGTGTGGTGTTACTCCAAGTCAAGACAGTGATACCCTTTTTCTGGGGAACATAAGCAAGACATGGACAAAGGATGCTGTAAGTATATTTGGCTTACTTCATTTTAGAATTCAGTGGCCTTATCAGGAGTTGCTTAAAAGTTTCTGACTTATTGTGATGGCTATGGCTTCAGTTGAGAGAGAAGTTGAAGCATTATGGAGTAGATAATGTTGAGGATCTGACATTGGTTGAAGACACTAACAACATGGGAATGAATCGAGGCTTTGCTTTTTTGGAATTTTCATCTCGTTCAGATGCCATGGATGCTTTTAAGCGACTTCAAAAAAGAGATATAGTGTTTGGAGTTGATAGGCCTGCAAAAGTTTCTTTTGCAGATTCCTTCATTGACCCTGGTGATGAAATCATGGCACAGGTAAGGTCAATTTTTGGCATTATTATAGACACTAGGAATCCTGGATGGATCGTCTTTCTCTTGCTCTTTTCTAATGATATGGTGTATGTGACGTACATAAAGGCCCTCATAACATCTCTTTCCATTAATATTAGGAGTCGTGGATGGATTGTCTTGATTATTTTCTTTTAATGTTGTGGTAGAAGTAATTTTTCTAGTTTTGTTTGTCAAATTACCATAACATCTATAAAATGTTGGATTCGATTCTTCAGAGTTGCTTTTTCAGGTAATGTTTCTTAGTTTTTGATAATTGTTTTCTATCAATCTTGCTAAGTTTTTCTCCTCTGTTGGCCAGAATAAGAACAACCATGTATAGTATAGTGGGTTTGAGGGCCTTTCCTCTATGTAGTGTGATTATGTCATTTGGAGGAGTTTCCTAGGTGATGTTGGAGCTGCTGATCACATATATTGAGATGCAGGTTAAAACTGTCTTTGTGGATGGCTTACCTGCTTCATGGGATGAGGATCATGTCCAAGACCTTCTGAAGAAATATGGGGAGGTTGAAAAGATTGAGCTTGCACGGAACATGCCCTCGGCTAAGAGGAAAGATTTTGGTTTCGTTACATTCGACACTCATGATGCTGCAGTGACATGTGCTAAAAGCATTAACAATGCTGAGTTAGGCGAAGGAGACAACAAGGTGTGTTGGCTGCTAACAGCATATTTCTATTTTAGACATTGTCAATGAAGTAGTTGTTTATGGGCCTTAGTTGGATATTAAATTTATAAATAATTGTCATACTTTAGGCTAAAGTTAGGGCGAGGTTATCAAGACCGCTTCAGAGAGGTAAAGGAAAACATGTTGGGCGCGGAGATTATCGGCCTTCAAGGGCTGTTGGGCGAGTTGTTAGGGGTTCGTGGGGTCGCCCAACACCTCGTTCTCTCCCTCCCCTGCGTGGATTAAGGGGAGTTGGAAGTCGAATCCCACCAGCCAGTGTGAAGAGGCCTGTTGGGTTAAGAGAAAGACGCCCTGCAATGTCACCTTATCCAGCAAGAGGCAGGCCTCTGCCTCCTCCAGCTAGGTCCTATGATAGGAGGCCACCTGGTATGCAATATTTTGGGTTTATACTATCTAATTGGTTTTGTGTTGCAATTTTTATCACGTGGAATAATTATATTGGTCTGCTTTTTTCAACAGTCCCAGCATACCCAAAGAGCAGCTTCAAGAGGGAATATGGTAGGCGCGATGAGGTTCCTCCTCCAAGGAGCAGAGTAGCCACTGATTATGGCTCAAGGGCTGTTCCAGAGAGACGCCAATCATATAGAGATGACTATACTCCACGTGGTCCTGGCTACTCTGATCCACCAAGAAGTACCTCTCGTACAGGAGGGAGGAGAGCTTATGTTGATGAGGGTTATGGACAAAGGTATGAAAGGCATCCTCCCCCTTCTCATCCTCTTCCAAGTTACCGTGAAGGTCGTGCTCGTGATTATGATTCTATTTCTGGTTCAAAGCGTCCATACTCTGCACTGGTTAGTGTTACTGGCGACCCTGTCTGTATATGAAAATGCAATTTCTTTGGTCTTCTCGGGTCCAATATGAAATATGGGCTAAAAGTTTTTCTTGCAACATGTTTTGTATTGCAGGATGACGTTCCTCCTCGTTATGCTGATGCGGGTATTCGCCAATCAAGGGCACGGTTGGACTACGAGTATCCAAGTGGTTCTCAGTATGGAGATGCCTATAGTGATAGGTTTGTCCTGCGAATTGGAACATTAACTTTTATTCTCACATGTGTGGATGACGTAACTTACCTTTAACAAATCGTTGTTGTGTTTGATAGAATGGGGAGATCTAGTTTAGGATATGGAAGCAGCAGAACAAGTCAGGATTCACATGGACTTTATAGCAGTCGTCAGGGCATGGGCTATGGAGGAGGTGTGTTTGGAATTGATGGTTATCTGAGATATAGTGTTAGTGTTGAAATCATAGACTTAAAGGCCTGAGTTTTTTCATTTCTTGGGCTTCAGGTTCTTATGGCAGTAATGATGTTGGTGGAATGTACTCATCAAGCTATGGTGGTGATTATATGTCCCGTGGCAGTGATGTATGTGCCCGATCTTGTTCGGTTTAATGATAGTAATAGCTGTTTGTTTAGCGGTCTCATGTATCATTGTTTCTTGATTATCTATTGTAGGTTGGAGGTAGCTCTTACTCATCAATGTACTCTGGCCGTGGTGTGGGTGGAAGCAGTTATATGGGTTCAGGCGGTTCTGGCTCGTACTACTGAGGTAATTTAATTTGTTGTGTAATTCATGTTTTATTAAGTCAGTGATGCATGCGTAAGTATGAGCCCAAGGTGCCCAAGTCATTACTATTTTTTCCTCTGGAGATTTATGTTTTTCGAAGGCACGGCTTCTCTTCTTTTGCTCTAAAAGGTCACGGGTGAAAACAGAGCAATATGGTTACAAGTGAATTTGTCTATGGAACAGATCTGACATGAGCAAGAGGATGCTGTAGGATGTGGAGTGTGTGAAGCTTTTGCATTATGATGCCTACAGTTATGGACACAGAATTTCCCTAAGAGCCTATGTATGTGTTGAGAATCTTTCATTGTATACAATAGGGTTGTTGTGGTTCAAGCCCTCTTGGGGATATCCACAGATTGGATGCTATGTCAGGCTGTAGTTATTTCACTGCAAGGAAACTCAAGTTGTTCAGAGATGAAACATACAAGTGCTTAGCTTATGATATTTCGTCTAATTTATCTCCTCTAAGAACTTCACCTGATGGAAAGCTTGGAGTCATGCTGCATCCTTTGTTCTTATGAATGGTAGATTATAACAAGAGAATGAGGGATTTTCTTAATGTGACTCTTAAGGTACTTTGGATATTTTTTTGTGCTGAATCCTTTGGAAAGGTTTTGGGTTTCAATAATAAAAGCGAAATATGGTCATTTCACACCACTTAATCATTTCAGTTCCATAACAATGAATAAAACCCTCAGTGGGTTAACTAGGAACTGAAGGCTATAAGGAACTGTGTAGCTTGCTTGGAATTGTACGAGATTGGGTCCGAGAAGGTTGACCTGGAATCTCTTGGCTGTGTGTGAGTTTTAGTATTGGAGTGAGTTAAATTTGCATTTTGACATATTTATTGGTTGTTAAGGTCTGGGAATCATATGCTTGGTTACAGTTAGGTACTGTATCTGAACTTAATGGGACATTACAAACAAGGATGAGTAAAAGAAAGGTTCAAATGGCATACTATAATTACTAGATTTTATTTCATTTCTTAAGGAGAGTTGACCTACCAGTAGAATAAAATTATCTGTTTATCTTAGTGAAAGTGCTTTTAGTTGCTTGCAAACCTTGACCAAGAACTTTTGAGAGTCGGTGATTAATTGAACTGAGTGCACAATATGGACAAGTGGAAGGGCTGACAAACATAAATTGTTTCCATTGCTACGCTTCCTACGAACAGAAACAGCACTGTTGAAACTTCATAATCTGGATCGCAAATAGTTGATTTTGTGCTACTGATGCCAAAAAAAGGGTCTGCAATTGGTAAATATCCCACGTTGTACATGCATCTTAATGTGGAATATCCCATTCTAAATGTGGGAGGATCATTTTTGGACTTTGCATACGCTACAGGCCCACACAGGAGTCTAAATTTGGTTAGATCTCCTTTATTAGCAATCCTTGCAGATTAAAAGATTCTGAAGCTTGGAGGTAACTACTAATACCTGCCTCATGCTTGGCCTTGTAACTTATTGATTGTTCATTAGGGTTGCTTATCAAGGTCATAACAGCTAGTTCTTTTCAGTCTTGATCAACATATTCTCATTTCTCAAGTAGCTAGGGAATTCTTTATGGTTCGAAGTTGTATCGATGCACGGGTTTTGTTTTGGTAGGTTTTCTATGTACCAATCCTGTTGGGATTTGGATGCCAACCGAATGCTGGGTTGGATTTTAATTGGTGCATATACTTTTTTGTCAAATTTTCGGGCAAGAAATAGCTATAAGTCATGTTTTCTTTAGGGAAATACGAATTGCCTGTATGTTTGAATTTTTGTTATTGGATTATCAAGGTCATAACAGCTAGTTCTTTTCAGTCTTGATCAACATATTCTCATTTCTCAAGTAGCTAGGGAATTCTTTATGGTTCGAAGTTGTATCGATGCACGGGTTTTGTTTTGGTAGGTTTTCTATGTACCAATCCTGTCGGGATTTGGATGCCAACCGAATGCTGGGTTGGATTTTAATTGGTGCATATACTTTTTTGTCAACTTTTCGGGCAAGAAATAGCTATAAGTCATGTTTTCTTTAGGGAAATACGAATTGCCTGTATGTTTGAATTTTTGTTATTGGGTTTCTAGGTTTACAAATGTACACAAGTTGTGTGTTGCTGAAACTTTGACTCAGTTGCAAGCAAAGTCCTTGGTTTTATTTGAAAATCTATTGTACTTGGTAAATTATTTGCAGGATACAACTTAATGAAAGCTTTGATTTGCATGGATTCTCTCTCTCTCTCTCTCCCACTCTCTCTCATCTTTGTGCTGAACGTGTGTTTGTTTGTACTGGTGAAATAGGATTTTAACTAACAAAAATTGAAAAAACACCCTTCAAGTTACTTTTTGTTCATCAGAATCCGATTAATGCACATGTTTTTTCATGTTGTTACAAAGCAATCAATCGAGTCTGGACGTGACACAAGTGCAGTCTCCATTTATCATCTTGTTCAAAAAGTCTCAAGTCTGAATTGTGTTGTGATCAAACGATTGCCATGCCATAATAATCAATTCCGCCTCTGCATTCTACATGAATGAATAATATCAACAGAATTTGAGATCTTTTACAGTTCAGAGTGACTTGTTGGGTAAGTTATATAAAGTTTATGGCTGATAATTGTCCGTATGGTCAACTATTCTTTCCAACTTTCTTGCTTTTCCTTTTCGATTTTTCTTCAATCGTCTTATGTACCAAGTGCATACGCAAATGTCACCATTGGATTGGTTTTCAATTCATCCAACGGCTGCGATTTATTACCACTTTTCGCATCTTCAATTGGGAAATGTGGTACATAGGACTCTGGAAAAACCATGATTTTTCGACAAAATCAGAACCCTAATTCACGACCAAGCAACGGGAAGATTTGCCAACAAGGGGAGAGCAAAGCATCGACAAACAAACAACTAAATAAAAAACGATGGTGCAAGATTAAAAATTTGATATGAACAAAAGAGAAATGCAAACTAGCACTTCTTTCTAGTTTGAAAAAGGACGAAGACTCAATTGCCACAATTAATAAATTAAAACAGATTTGACCCCAAAAGACATTTATAATGACATAAAATCACAACTCAGTCGAGTAAAACTAGACTCTCACTGTAACCATAGATCCTCCTTCTGGTTCTGTCATAGGTACCAAGTTTTATTCCAGTATCTGTAACTTGCTCCGATTTAGGATCATACAACTCCAACTTTCTGTGTTGCCAATTTTCGTACCTCGTAAAATGAACACCGCCATTTGCTGTAAATGCCAATGGCCATGCAATTGTTCCCTCTGCTGGAACAGGAATCGTGCGAATCATTTTCCAGGAATCCATTTCCAGAACCCATATGTCATAGTAGTAACGGTACCCACGATCCCATTCTTGTCTATGGAACAAAGAAAGTGATTTCTCCAACACCCTAATGGAAATTGAATGTGTCACTGTGAACAAGATTTCATGGGGTATGTCTTTGGGGCTAACCATGTCAAAAACTAAAATACGTATACAGAATTCAACTGACAACACCAGGAAACTACAAGCTGCTGTCCAGCAACCCAAACAGTCCCAAAATAGAGAGAATAGAAGGACAAAGCAATAGAATTGAAGTTGGAACGACGATAATTGAGTTCTAGGGCAAAAATCCCAAAGAAACTCGAGTCTCTTTATAGCCTTTTTACACTAGAGTACATTAGCTTATTAAGAAGACCTAATTGACAAAGGAAACTAAACCGAATCCTAATTGGAATAAGAGAACTAATATAAAAAAAACTAATAATTTAAAAAAACTAGAATCCTAGCCCAACTGACTAACGGGCTCATGTACTCTTGGAAAGCCCTGTCAGTCACCAAATTCACCTCCACTGACAAAACTCTAAGCCCATTTCTTGGTTTCTTGAGGCAGGTGGATGGTGATCATCAGAGAGGAAGTTTGCAGTTTGATTCCACGAAGCAGATGCTTGAAAGTATTTCATAAGAGAGAGAAATTGAGAAGTCGTGATGTGTAGGAGATTCCGCCGAAGTCTGATAACAATGTATATATGTATTTGTTTTTGGTTGGAAAATTGTATATGCATTTCAAAGATCGACAAAGTTACACTTTTCGTCCTGCATAGTCTGTTGCACTTTCGCTCCAGTGACGGATCCAAGATTTTACCTATATTAAGGCATGGTCGACTGTCGACTAAATTGCAGAAACTAATTTTTGCTATTATTTAGTGGGCTGATGCTATTAATAAGTTTGTACTATTTTGTTATATAAATTTGGAATCTAATGCCTGATTAATTCATTGGGATGAGACCATTCACTTTCTATTTTAGATTGATCAAGTATTGAGACCTTTCACTTTAGAGTTCAGAGTGACTTGTTGGGTAATCTTTATAAAGTTCATGGCCCTGCGGTTGTCACAAAATTACACTCTCACTGTAACCATAGATCCTCCTCCTTCTGGCCCTGCGGTTGTCACAAAGTTTTAATCCAGTATCCCTAAATTGCTGCGATTTCTGATCATACAACGCCAATGGGAATGCAATTGTCAGAAGTTGAAAAATGAACACCACCATTTGTTGTAAACCCCAATAGGAATGCAATTGTTCCCTCTGCTGGAACAGGAATCGTGCGAATCATTTTTAAGGAATCCATTTCCAGAACCCATAGGTCTATGATGGAACAAAGTAAGTAATTTCTCCAACACCCTAATGGAAATTGAATATGCCACCGTGAGCAATCTATCAGGAAGCATAATACTTTGGAAAACGTCATTCTCCATATAAAAAGAAATGATGTAACTGCAAATGGTATAGCCGATCGGCTATACTCGTTTTTCTAATTTTTTTAAGGGAGATTCACTAATATACCAAATATAAGAGCCCAAATTATAAAAATACCTTATATGAAATGGACTTTAGAAACACACCCAAAGCCCATTTATAACATAACAAAAAGGCTTTTAACTTCTTTTAAATTACAAAACTGCCATTGATTTCTCAAAACAAACCCAACCCCAAAACATATAAACAAGCCCAAAATACTCAATAGGACATCAAAGTAATTTAATAATCAAAATTAAATTCAATATGGCCAATTGTCATTTTTGGGGTTTTTTTTGGGTTTGTTTATAGAAATTAAATGGTGTAGGGTTTATTTATAGTTTTAGTGCTAAGAATGGGTATTTGACTAAATATCTCTTTTTTTAAAGAAATACTATCGCCGCGCGGCTATACTTGGTTTTTCCTAAATTTTTAAAAAAGAAATAGTATAGCCGCACGGCTGTACTCTTTTTTCTAATGTTCCCCAAAACTCGTATAGCCGGGCGGCTGTACTCCGTTTTAAATTTTTTTAAAACTAGTATAGCCGAACGGCTTTACTCGGCATTTTTTAATTTTTTTCCTACTACATAGTATAGCCGCGCGGCCTTACGCGGTTTTCAGAAATGTTTTAAACATAAGTCGTATAGCTGCTCGGCTATACTCGGGTTCTATTTTTTTAAAAAGAAATAGTATAGCAGCGCATCTATGCTCTGTTTTTAGATTTTTTTTAAAAAACCATAGTATAGCCGCTCGGCTATACGGTTTCTGTTTGAATAATTAGGAAAAAAACCGAGTGTGGCCGCGCGGCTATACGATTTCTTTTTAAAAAAAAATTGGAAAACGGAGTTAATTAAGCAATTAGTAATTAAGATGATATAAAATACCAAGTAGTTAATTAATCAGTTAATTATTTATTTCAGTGTGGAGGGTTATTGTTAGAGTAGCAAATTGCTTCACATGGAGAGGAGGCACAACAATTTTCATAGCCGAGGAGCTAGAGATGACAGCTAGATTTGTAGTGAAAACAATGAAAACCCTGCCTATGGATAACAATGATTTTGCAAAATCCTATCCTCTTACTGT